TTATGTACCTACCTACACGGTGCATACCTAACTCATGTACCTACTACCTACACGGTGCATACCTAACTCATGTACCTACCTACACGGTGCATACCTAACTCATGTACCTACCTACACGGTGCATACCTAACTCATGTACCTACCTACACCGTGCATACCTAACTCATGTACCTCATGAACAAGAGGTCCTAGTACCTGTACCTGCACTTTGTCTATATATACCGAGATGTATACACATTTCCTACATACACGATTCATGCCCAACTTATATAAATACCTGCTTGCTGTGTCCCCAGTTGATTTACTCACACGGTACCTTCTCGTTACCGGTACCTGTACAGTGTCTCATCAACGTATATAACGACGTGATATCTCGCCAAATCACAATACCCCTACACCGGATACAAAACACAAATTTTAGAAACAAGACAAAAACGAAATCAGTGAAAGCAATAAAACAGTACATTGCGCTATTGCATTCGCTTTACCTGTATCGATTCTGCATAATAGCTACACGGAAATAGGAACCTATCAAAGCAGTAAGCCATTTATGTCGGAAATGTTTAGTACATATCCGAAAAACGCTTTCTTAATTACGGGAAATTGTCTAAATTCGTCCAGTATATAGATCTGTCGTTCAGATTACTGCATTGTATCGCAGACTAGCTTTGTATTCGCAGAATATTTGTGAAAAGTGAACATAGATGAGTTACAATATCAGGACACGAGGCGGGCCGAAATCTGTCAACTAATTCATTTCTGGACAAATTTGGTGTATTGCTATTGATATGCATTAGGATACAATCGTCACTAAATCTATATACCATTTCAGATGTCATATCATATGTCTGGCGCAAAGCAAGCATGCTAAAATACTCGCTGTGAATACATATAGAATTCATGTACGACATTCTAGCCTGTGACACTTGAATGTAATTATTGCGGAAATGGAGTCGTGTATTTATCTCGCCAGTAATTGAATATATCATCCATCATTCATTGGTTTACTGTACACACACACACACACACACACACACACACACACACACACACACACGACGCACACACACACACACACACACACACACACACACACACACACACACGCACAACGCACGCACGCACGCACGCGACGCAGACGCCAACACACATACGGCACGCACGCACGCACCACGCACGCACGCACGCAACGCGCAGCACACACACACACACATATATATATTATATAGTATATATATATATATATAAGTGTACATAATTCATCATTGCCTATATCGCCAAGTCAAACATGCATATCTGCAAGAGTGCTATACACATGCAAGCATAAACATACGTACACGGCACACAAACACGAGCACACGCACACACGCACGCACACACGCGCACGCACGCACAGCATCACACACACACGTGTACACAAACAAACAAACAAACACACACACGCGCGCACATACACACGACTAAGCATCAGTTAAACTATTGTCTACTAACTGACTACTTTAAAACGCTGTGTTACTCGACGCCACATGGTGATATGAATTTCAGGTGAAGTTTGACCGGCGTGTTAAAGAAGCGATCTGGTGATCAAACGAGAGACAGGCGAAGTTGGATGTTACAAGCATTCAACACTAGACAGAAAGCGGAACTGATCGACAACGAACGAGCTTAGGTGGAATATCAGCACCGATACGCCTACCTATTCCAACCCGGAAGATTTTCAAGTAAGACAATTCACAGCAAATCCCACATCGTTCTCACTACATAAAAAATCTGTGATTTTCAGCTCATGGCAAACTAAAGATAACGCCAACAATGCTTAAGATCAAATCTATTTATATCTTAATTTCTTATGATTAGTAATATTTATTTATTTATTATACTTTTTACGATTATTATTTATAAGCGATTTTACTCAGTATGAGAATGAGAAGGGAATCATCAGATGGGCTATCAACCACTGGGAGCAAGAGAGACGTGGTATCCGCTTCAAAGACATGGGACGGCTGTGGTCTACTACACCGATTACATTCTCATTCTACAAGGGAACAGGGTATGCCCGAGGCAGAGCTTTTTAACACTATTTCAGTGTCATTCATCCCGCGACTAAATACCCTTGTGTGTTTTTGGTAATTTTTATCAACTTTTTTGGCTTGAACCGATTCTACCAAGTTTAAAGACAGCTGCTCTGAGGGAATGTTTATACACTATCCGCCAAAGGTAGCTTGCTGAGGTTATAAGTTATAAGACTATACGTTATGCGTAGACTGCTACTTTTGTATGGCCCGTTCCATGTTGTTAATTCCGTCATTTTCGAATTTAAGGTCCTACACTAAGCACTACTTGAATATCCAATACCTAGTATATACAGTATACTGATATCTATGCCGACGGTTTGTGCATGATATCTTAAAACAATTAATATGTACCTGAAAATCAGGGTTTCAAAGTGATAAGCTTGACAAAACGCTGAGAGCGATTTTTATAGTCCACCGTGAACCGCTGTGTACAAACCTAACATCTGTGTTAAGTTAGCCTACAGCCGAAAGAAGTTGTATTTGTATAGGTGAGATAAGTCGGATTCGTTATAGCCGCTTATAGGACAGTGTGTTATCAAGTTTCACGTCACAGAATATATACAGCAGTGATGAAATCTCAAGAGTAAACTCTAGAAGAGTAAATATAACTTTCCTACATAATAGTATACACATATAGCTATAGAATACACATAGTTCGATGGTGCTCGTGATCGCTGTGTTAACACCTTGCTTTGTTTTTAGGCTGCAGCTCAGAGGTCGGTAGGAATGGAGCGAGACACAAATCTCCTTATAACGGTCTCCTGCATAATCGTAAGCGATCACTGCCATATTTTAATTAATATAATTCGCACACGACTTGTTCTACTATAAAGGTGGGCGCGCTTCATTATTAACCTGTAAAAATTCTCGAGTATGTGCGCGTCAGAAGTATGCGTTACAAGTAGCAAACAGATATACCTATAGACAGGATACCAGCTTTCATAGCCGCAAGCTACAATGCCATGCCGCGTTCTTTATGTTTAAATGTTTTATCCGCTGCGCACAGTGGATGGAGTTTCGGCTTGGAGTCGGAAGTAGAGAAGTTATTTATCACACGCTACTATTTGTACGGCCTCTAAATGGCTTTCACGTTGCTTTTCAGTTTTTATTCACCCGCCCAATCAGTCGTTAACCTTTATTTATAACATACACCAATGAAAAAACGTCAACGTGACTTTTCCGAGCATAATGGTCGCTCTACGGAGTGATCGTCGACAGCAGATGTGTCTCTATTTATTATTCTATATTATTATTTGTTATGTGTTATATTATTGTTATTTTCTATTTGTTATTCTATATTGTTATTTGTTATATTAGTATATTATTGCTTATTCTATCAATTATATTTGTTATAATCAGTTATAGTTATTGTTCTCTATTTTGGGATTCTAATAGAAAGCAGATCGTGCTCATGAGATCGGAACACTCGCTGGGGTTTGCTGGGCTGAGCAGGCTCGCCAGGCAAGACCGCGATGATTACTTTGGATGTGCTGTGGGAGAACATCCAGCCTGGCAAGACGTAATAACTTTCTCCCACATCATCAGCACAATCACGCAACGACGTTCCCTATGATATGTCCAGCCTCAAATGGCACTACTAGAAAGGTGAGGCGCCCATCTACCGGTGTAATCGTTTAATCTATCGGTATATCCCTGGCATTAGACCATGTGATTCGCGTACTACGTGTAAGATTTAGGGGTTCGTACCTGTGTCCCATGGATCCGTTTGGCGGTCTGTGGATGCTTTTAGGGGTTCCGGTGAAAGCAGGCGCATGCAAAACTCTGTGTTTATGTGGCTTATGTGGGCATATTTTTTGGGGAAGAGCCGTAGCTTTCACCAGATCCTCAAAGGGGTCTATGACTCAGAACGGGTAAAGAACCACCTGGCGTAGATGCGTGTAGATCATGTTAACCTGACTGCAGTTAAGTCGTGCATGACTCACCACGACGAATGCATTCACTTTGTGGGACATAGCCACGGGAACTTTGCGCAATGCAGTCCTAAATGATGTGTCCCGCAGAAAATGCCTTTAGTGTTCACTCGTGTTTAGTTGGTATTCAGCGCACAGATGGCAGTACGTAGTCGCAGGCTCTTCAATAGGATGACCATAAACATGAAAAAATAATTAAAAAACGTTCCAAGAAAGTTTCCAGTGACACAAAACACTCACTTTAATTCATGCTAAATGACGCACAGATATAAGCGTTTTGATGCATCTTTTCCAGCAGTTTGGCAGATTCGTTTCCACACACAAAACGCACTAGCCCCGGTCACGCATAGAAAGCAAAAAATTTTCCAACAAGGGAGCATAAGCATATAGCAAATTCAGATTAGTACGCTCTATATATTACAGAGTCTACTATAGTTAACTATATTACATCGAACACGAGAGGAAAACGGTCTGGAAAAAAAGGCACGCCTCAGGTAGTGCAACGGTAAACAAATCGGTTGCTGAGCGGGGTACTGTCGCGTGCTACATTTAAGCTCTCGTGTTCGTGAATCGTTAATTTGAATTTCGTTTCAGGATTCAGCAAAACCTACCCGGATATGTTGACCTTGAAATCGCCGACGGGTTTCTATCAACATAGGATGGGAGGAGCCGAAAGTTGTCATCTACGACGCAAAAACGGCAAATATCGAAATATACTGCAAAGGTTTGGACTCCATTCACACACGTGCGCTGCGCCACGCGTGTATTCTATTCAAAACACGTGCCCGTTCTTTGCCTAAAAGCGCTAGCATGTAAGGGGGAATAGATATTATATATTACTAGCTATAAGCGCTAAGATATAGATAGATTAATTGCGCCGGCATTAAGTGCAAGTA